GCTGTCCAGTAATAGTGTCATCCTTCGGTTTTTCAAAAGAATGAGACCATAAAAAGCTCAAACTCTGTTGACGTGCATCTCCCAAGTACCCAATAGACGACTTCCCCAAAATCCCTTAACGGCAACCACCCATTGGAATATCCAAAGAAAGGAAAGTGGTTTTCAGTAGCAGACACAAAAGTTATATTTTAATGTGAGTTTGCAAAACAGCTACACTATCAGTATCGAATAAGACTGATCTTAGCGAAACACACTCATTTGCAAACAAATCTGGTTTTACGAGACTCACGTGGAACCCAGCTGAATCTTTCGTTTGTGGTGTTCCCAGGCAACTGAATGTGCCGCCTCATGTTTCAGTGGCTACGATATTCGAGATATGGCGATACATGTATATTCGTAATGCAATACTCATAAGGTTGCTGAAAATTCTTCGGCAGCCCATGGCCGGTTTCGTCCTTCTTGGGGCTAATTTCGTGCGAGTTGGTTAAGCCTGACGCAAACTCGGGACTGCGCCAGCCTGATGAGCTCCAAGAAAGGTTGGTCTTAGTTTGCTTTCATTTCTGAGGTGGAATGACTCACCATATGTTTTCAAGAAAACGGAATGCCAAATGACATTATAATGAGAGAGGGGGCAAATATGGAGCATGTTCTGGGTTTTCTATGCCTGATTAGCGAGAGTTCCACGCCTTTTGAATGTTAGAAACCACAGACGTCGGGGTCTGACGATATCGGTCACCTCAACCGCAGTGTATGCGCAAAAAGCCAACAACTATGAATGCGCAGAGATGAGATATTGTTCAGCTGTAGCACTCTTTCGGTTCCTAACTGCCACGCCATCCGAAGGAAGCATGAGGGCTGGGATACTGCCAGGTTGCCCAAGCCTAGACAGGGAAAGTCGATAGGTAGAGGTCGGATTCGAACCGCGTGCCTTCCGATCAGCAAATTCGAAATCCATCACTGAGCCATCTCGCCCCAGAGATGAGATAAGGCGGTGGATGAGCGTTAGTTGCCTGTATATTTGTTGACATAGCCTAGTATCTGAGTCGGAACAGTACTGACTATACGGACTCAAATAACAATAACAATGTAGGACAATGTGGTAACTACTGGAAACACGAGAAACAATAATGTGTTGTTTTATATCACTGTCTAGCTCCAGCATCTTCGATACACATTTCACTTGCGTTACATATCCAGCAATTATAATATGCCATACTGCTGATCGAAATACATCAATCTATGTCTGTAAGACAGAGAAGCGTAACGGGATAAGGCAGAAGTGGAGTTAGACGATTTCGCCGGTTTTTGGGAAATTCGACTTATTATTACAGGCAGATGGCAGACATTTCTATCGTGATTTTCACTCCAAGAGGGTAGTTAGTCATTATTGGAACGAGTGTATTACGAGTGGTTAGGGAGAGTTCCCTTCCATGAGCGAAAGAAACCCGTGCACGAAAACTGTTTCATCGATGGGAGAGTGCCTTCTTTCGATCCGTTTCATCATGGGGATGGTCTTCGGTTACTCGGCGTACTGAATTAGTGCCAGCACAAGCCTCCGGCTAATTCGGTCAGTCACAACAACAATTCTAAAGTGACGGGGTGGTTAGCTCAACCACTGTGCTTGTATCGTGAGTCCTTGTTTCTGATACACAGCACACATCAATGTCCAGCTAGTCCAGTGTGAGAGCAAGAGCAGCATATTATCTTGCTTGCTTCAGAGTGCAGACATTGAAAGCAGCCAGATAGACTGGAAGTCGACACTTGAAGAATGATTTCGAGCTGCCTGGGGATGTTGGTGCCCGATGTGACGCGCAGATGTTGCTTCCAAAACAGATGCATGACGGACGGAGTCATCAGTCCTAACTAACGGGTCTACAATTAAATAGTTATTGATGGGATCGGGTAGAGAAAGCATGTCGAAGCACAAGAGAAGCACCAGCGGTAGAACGTTTTCGACAACACGCCCTGCTGTGTGCAGCAAGTAAGGCGACACGGTTGATGTCACACGACGTCCGACGTGGCATGAGGGTATCGTCGGCTGTAGATATCATGGCTGTACGTGGGTTGGGATACTGGTAGGGCACTTACCTATACAGAAGTACGACTAGGATTTTCAAGCAAAACCTTCGGCTCAAAATCTTGACAGCACAAGACAGCAGGAACGAAAAACTCAAGTGTGCTTCCATTTCTACAGAACAAGTCGCCACGCATGTTCAAACCCCAACCTGGGGGGAGGGGCAGGACACAGAGTTGTTCGGACCTCAAACCATTGTCCAACCTAGTACGAGGGACACTATGGGTGTTGCACGGACACCCATAGTGTAGCTCAATGGAGCATGGAGTACACAAGGCGTTACGCCAAAGCGAAGTCCGGTATCTTGCCTGCTATACTCCAGAGAAGGCGGTGATCAAAAGCCTAGAGAAGTTTGAGGTCTACAGATCAGGAAGACAGAGTTTCACAGTCAGTGTGTGAGTAATCTCAGGGTCGTTTTGTAGGCATGACTCTTCAGCGTCATCGAGATTCGTCTCTGGTGCTGAAGATGACGGTACATGCAGCTCAAGAGTTGGATTACTTCATCCGTCAGGTAACAGCTCTGGCTTATGCAGCCGTCAAAAAATGAAAACCCGGTCAACATACTCACGTTTCTCGCCCTGTAGTTCTGAAGAGCTACAGGAGGATTGGTTTGGAAGTAACCTTTATCAAAGGGGATTCGAGAAGCATACTGAAACATGGAAACACTTTTGATATTATGCTTACGTTAAGGTGTGTGAACATGTGGCCATCAACTAATGAGGATGGCCTTTTCGGAACTGAAATTACACGACCATTGACTTTGGCCCCTGGGGTTCAATGTAACACACAACAGAGAGCTAGAATACAGCTTGGTGATGCCATACCAAGCACACCAAAGTCGCCGTCTGCAAAGCGGTCTAGACTAAACATAGGTTTAGACAGCTTTCGACAATATGGTTGACTGTCACTAAACGGAACATTAAAAGCGGATTGAAATTATTTACAATCAGATGAGGCACAAGTCTGAAATCTGGTGCAACTCCAAATGGCGTTTGTAAAATGGAGTCTTCCTAACGGAGTCTTCCAAACTTTTACAACGGCAGCAGTGTCGGTTGACGAAGATGTGGTCCTTCAATGAGAGTACTTGTTACAAAGGAGGGCCGTAATATCATGTGTTATTGCACTACCATAAAAATTTCGGCATTATCATCATCGACAGCACGACATCAGTGTTTAACACCGGTGTTTTGCTGCTGTAAAGTTTGGGTATGTGCAGAGGTAATTGTCCATATGGTTGATAGGGGGCGCCGCCTCCCCCCAAGAGAAACCACCCCCTCCAAATAAGACTAGTAGAGCCGTTCTTCGCAAGTGGTCTTTGTTGAAGGAGATTACCATATTTTCAAAATCCTGGTAGCAACAGCTAGGTCAGACTTGCGTCCATTTCACCAACTACACTTACAACACACCCTTATCAGAGACAAGCAACAAGTTATACCAGCCTCTTCTGCGTCAAACCCTCTACGAGGACTGACATTGATCAACCCCATAAGCAGTCGTCCTGGAGGAGTTACACTGCGGAATCTTTTAACGATGTCAAGACTTTGACGCGTTGCTGACAGCCGGCGATTAGGCACTGTGAAGATTGAGAGACTCAGGTCAGCCAGTTATATCATGTCACACCTGATAGGTAAGGTAGCCATCGTCTGCTACCTTTGTAGTTGCCTGCATTAGTGAAAACTACAAAAAAATCAAAGTACATTCTTGTTCCAAGCCAATTCCGGTTTATCAAGGTCCGGGGGGTTCATGGTTTCCCTGTGGGGTCTCCTTTCATATGATTCTGGAAAATACTTATCTGGTAGTATCTAGTCCTGTAAATGCGAGTCCGCTTCCATGGGTTCGTCGGGGAAGACGGGTGACGTCTTGGATGTAATAAGAAGTTCCGTTTAGTGCGGTACACACTGAGCACTACTTCGACATTTATACAATTTTTATTTGCACGACAGTCCAGGGAGAGAGAGAGAGAAAAGTTCAGCTGTAGCATCCTTTCGGTGCCTAAATGCCATGCCACACGAAGGGGGTACGAGCGCTGGGATACTGCCAGGTTGCCCAAGCCTAGACAGGGGAAGTCGAAAGGCAGAGGTCGGGTTCGAACCACGGACCTTCTGGTCAGTAAATTCGCACTCTAATCACTTAAACCATTTAGCCCCCTGTAACACTGAGCGTAGAGAAGCTGCTATTTATAACCTCCGTAAAGAGAAAAAGCAGAGGATTGGGGATTCTAAAACCTAATAAATTCACCGTATGATCAACCACAAATGCCGCACAGTCAGCTACATTGGATTCATCAGACTGTGGCTCTGGATCCAGTTGATATGATTAGCATACAATCCCTGTAGTTCCCCTTTTAAGTGTTTTTTTATTTAATTTTATATATCACATCCCTTAACAGACTCGAGACACACTATGGTACGCAGTTGCTTAGGCTGCCAAAGCAATGAAACATAGACAAATGACAAACAAGCCCCCAACGGCATATTGAAGCTCACTGGTTAACTGGACACTTTATAAAGCCGGATAACCAGTAGAAGAAGTCTTATCAGTCAGACTCTGGGTGAGTGAAGCATCACGGTGGTTTACAATGCATAACCGAATTTTCCGACAGAAAAAAACGCTTCTCAAAAACGAAAATCTGGTTGCTCCCGAGACTGCGTTACAAAAGGACGGACAAAATTGCAACAGTTGAGTGTATCGGAGCCCCCAAACCCTCACATTTACGGATAAGCTGGATAGACACGAACAACTGGTCCGCAAAACAGAGTTGTAATTGAAAACCGGCACACATCTAGAGGATCAGAGTCCGGGATCATCAACCATAAAAGACTGATAAAAAAGGAACAGCTTGAACTATCATGTAAATATGCCCCAAAGGAATTTTAAATAACTTAAAGTAGGAACCTGAAAGAGCCCCCATGTGACATCCACATACCTAACGTGTGTCCGACTTTGACTCAGGCAATCTTGAAAATCGCACACCTCACAGCGACATCCAAAGATTCCGATCAGTTCATCCTGACACAACGACATGTGCAGTGTTTCGGTTCACATCTGGGCCACAACAGTCGGTGACGACAACAAAGGTATCCGAATGACATTTTCTAAGGTCACCAGGGCGCAAGCGCGAGTTAATGATAGTAGTGTGTTGTACCGTTTAAACGATCGAAAAGCGGAGAATAAACAGCAGGGAAGTGAGTTGCGTGAGTACACATCCGAAAACATTTGATAAAACCGGAAACAGATGAAGAGATAATGGGACTGGTACGTAGTAGGGTAGAAGTTCACTGAACTGTACTACCCCATTGGCACCGTAAGAACATACAGAAACAGACTTACTAGGCCTGGAGGCGGGCTGACAAGGTCATTCTCTTCAACAACCCTGGTAAATGCTTCAATAAACCGTTGCACCACGGTAGGTTCGAGTTGAACTCCTTCAGCATGAATCAGTGGACATTGAAGCTTGGAACGCAGCGCATCTAAGTTGGAGGCCAACAGACTTGGCAAAAACGAAGGAAGGTATGGAACGTTGGTCACAGTTGAAATACGCTCAACTTAACGGAACCAACATCCAGCGGCATTTATGCGATAAGTTTCCAGTCACCAATACGTATATATATATATATATATATATATATATATAACGCCAAATTTAACAGTGAAACAGAAACTGCAAAGGTCACGACAGCTTTGATCTGACAATGACGTGTTTCGTAATAGAAATGAATATCTCCCAATTAATTGTACAAGCTGTACAGAATCCCACTCGTTAACCAGTACCCTAACGGCAATGCCCCATGAACCCCATGAGATATGAGTTTCATTCTACTGAAGAAAGGATTCCAGGAAAGGGTGCACTTCCAGACACACACTATTATTCTAGATCTAACTGGTAACTTTTGCTGCAAAATGAGTCCCACGGGGCGAAACAGAAACAAACGGGATTTCTAAAGCATAGGAATACTAGAAAGATTACCACGTGTAACAAGATCTTCCAGTCAGGGGTTGGTCGCTTTTCGGTTTGAGAATACGGTGAGAAAGCATTGGAAACCCGATCTATGGAAGCCCATAATATTTGCACTGTTGAAGCGAACTTTGGACGTAGTATACGTCTTATTACGAAGAACAAAACACCGGATCTCCGAATAAATGTGAATTTGATGAACAATTTAAGACCATGAAATTGAAATGGTGTGGCGAAATACTCCTGCAGGTTTGTACAGACCAATAAAATCCGGATGATGCTTTTTTCTGCATGGTTCAGTGGAATGTCGGCAAAGAGAAGGCCACATTTACTATGAGGAGATAACACAGGACAAATAAAAAATAAATAGTTCAGCTGTAGCACCCTTTCGGTGCTTAGTTGCCATGCCACACGAAGGAGGCACGAGGGCTTGGATACTGCCAAGTCGCCCAAACCTAGACAGGGGAAGTCTAGAGGCAGAGTTCGAGTTCGAACCCTGGACCTTCCGGCCAGCAAATTCGCGCTCTAACCACTGTCTATTTGGTCCCAGAATACTCTCTGACGATCGAAATAAGCGAAATGTGGTGTATCTGAGGGACAGTACTTTTTAACCTCTGAACACGGTGGGTGATAAAAAATATTATTGTCATTTTACGGAGCAGACCGATGAAGTATGATGTAAATGATCTAGTGCACCGGTGATGGTCGAAATCCCTGCTAGCGACACAACACAGCACATTGTTTCAAAATGAAACTGGGCAGCGAGAGAATAAGAGAGAATTAGGCAAACAACCATTTTTAGTTGCAGTTTCACTTCGATGTGTGCATTCCTCTGTGTGGCGTTTTGATGGTGAGTCCAACAGAACCAGTGATCAACAGTTATTATGTACTTATGCTTACCCAAAGCTCAAAATACAAGCTCCCGTATGGACGTTGGCAAAGCGAACAGTGACCATTGTCTGGGTTCCCAAACTCTCACCAGCAGGACGCCCACCTTCTGTGAAAGAGTTAGTGTCGAAAACAGACGATGCAGATGCCACTACGGCTATCAGTTCGTCCGAGGATTGCTTCACTACACGGAATTTCGTGAAGTGGGACGTCAGTATCCAAGAATCCGTTACAATCACCCTCCTACCAGGCCAGCTGCTTGAAAGCCCACCTTGGCTGGCAACAAATTTGTCCGGGCGTCTACATTCTGCATTAATGCTTGAAACGTAAGACAGCCAACTGGAATGAAAAAAAAAACAAAATTGAGAATTTCCAATCTAGAAATCCATGTAGAACACCTTCCGAAAAAGAGGTTATCCATTGTGAAAACACCAATGTCATTGTGGGGAGAACTGACCGTCGATGAGAGTTTACTGCTAACCATCGTTGAAAATGCAGTTGAAAAACAGTTGAAGGCGACGTACCGTAAGGGGGTGTATATTTAAGAACACCTTAACTTCCTTGGGTTATCAGTCATGTGACACTATATGGATAAGTTCAAATTATTTGATGTCAAGGCTGCCCTATTCAGATGGGACTAAATCGGCCTCTGTCGAAATGTGTTATCCATCGTGGCGTGCCCGTAATGAAACATTCTGCTTTTGAGAAGCAATCTTAGACTCGCATAAAGCAGAAGTGGACGATCCCGGATAAACAATCCACCGTGCGTTGTGCCCTGACGCATCAGGTGGTGGCAGAATTCGAGATCTGGATTTCTAACTTCCGATTTCACATTCTCAGCTGTAAAACAACCCGTCACCGACCTCACTTGTACACATGACGTAAACGGGAATATCTTGACTTGAAAACCATATTTCAAAGGTAGTCTACACCCAGCAGCTTGTAACCAGTAAACCTCACCAAGAGGGAAAACATGGTTTTCGGTGTTAAAACACGATAGGGCTGGATACAGTGTCCTATTCTGTCGTAATCAATACCACGCATTGGACAATATAACTGAACACAAAAACATACCTGTGATCTGGCGGGTCAGATGACTGTCCCTCGGTTTTCGTAGAGTCGGAGAGTTTCTTCAAAGATATCACGGTGGGATGCCCAGACCACGCACCTTGCGCGTACCAAACAATATAAGTGTGCGAGCACAGGAATGTGAACGAAGCAATCCCAGTCCATAGGATCAAATCCCACAGAGTGAAAGGTGGTTGAATGTTCGGGCTGTTCAGTACGACAGACGGAGATAGACTGCGCATGACGCCGTAATATACTGGGATGAAGGAAGTTCAAAATTCAATGTTACGTGACAAAAAGTACAACTTATCTAAATCAAATAGCAGGAGGTATGGAAGGCACGACGAGCAGTTCGCAATTCGGAAAACCAAACTTTAGAGTGGTTACACAGTTACTTGTGTCACAAAAAGCCCCACAAGTGATACGACATCGTGTATGAATTAGTTCCCGAATTCAGACTGTGGAGATAAACGAGGAAGACCGAAGTAGGATCTGTCGACGTGTTGGATGCTCATTACATGCTAGTCGATAAAACAGTGGCACGAAAAAAAGCAAGACCAGCAGACAGACAAAAACATAAAGTAAAAATGGGCGTACTTACACAGTAAATAGAATGAACAAACTACTCTCAGCATAGCTGTTCGACGTAGGTGATATTCGAAAAAGAAGACGTTTTCGCTTCCCAAAAATCGCCCGAAAATATTCTCCAAAGTGACACCAGCTGCGATGAATTCAAGCGGTGGATAGATGGTGAATACAACGAACAGCCAGAATAGAAGTGTGTACAACACTTCTAGTGGAGCTAGAGGAACCCAGGAAAAGAACACGTCCATCCTTTCTCTAAAGTAAGACACAGCTGTAGAAGAATGTTATAATGGCGGTCCAACAAATTAGCTTTTCTGACTCGGGTTGCGCAAAATCACCATTTCGAGGGCAAACGAGGCTGAAACAAGAGAGCATACACAATTGTTGTTCAATCAAACTAGACGTGAGTCACTCGATTGCAACAGACCGAGTAATAGGAATACGCTGCCCTTTTGCTAAATAGATAGAGTTCAGCTGGGCATCTCTTGTTGGAATGCATGTGATAGCAGTATCTGTTCTCAGCGAATTTTTCTCATGAAACAGCTCGTTTGTGCGGCATTTTGGAGATTTCCATAAATTTGGATGTGAGCACCTGGTGGGAGACAGTCACGACAACTGGTGCGATGGTTTTGGAAGGCCATCCACAATGATGCGCTCAGAGCATTTTTATGACGGCACCAAGCATGATCCCTGTGATATAACCATTTTTACGTCCTGCTTCGAAGAGGCTCGTTGGATTCGACGACAGCTTTTGACCTGTTTTTCAGTAGCATCACCATCAGCATCAGTCGTCCGACTTATTGTATCTACCTCTTCCTTGCTACAATATCATTGAACAGGGTTCATTGGTTTGCAGTGTTAAGGTGTCTGAAGTCGTTTGCGAACCGGCGGATTTATGCTGGTTCTATCAGCCATGCATCCGTGCTTAATTACAACAACAGAATGATCATTATGTCCCAACGATGGTAGAAAACGTCCCAGGTCCTAAGCCTGGTAGGTTCACGAGCGTGGTTACGTAATTGCATTGTATCCATGGGCTCGCAGGGCTGATGTGGAGACATGGTAGGTGGTGATTCTGCACAACAGAAGCACACTGAAATCGACCATTAGGAGGACCCACAATAGGAAGATCGCATGATAACTTAACTGTGAGCTTCTCTAGAGAGAAATGTACCGTCATTTAGTGTCGAAGTCGGAGGTCTCTTCGGCAAATTTCAGACTAGGGAGTAAGACTCAGGGTGAGAGAGAGAGATAACCAAGTCTTCGCTATGGTGGTTACGTCGTATTGATTGGTTAGAAGATGCTATCGAAGTTCTAGTGTTTTTCCGCTAAGCCTAGCGCTTCCCAAACATCGCACCATGTGCTGTGCATTTCGTCTGACAGACTACATTCACTTCATGCATTTCTGGGTTACGTCAGAACTTGCCCACTGTACTGCCATCTGCACTCCTTACCTGAACTACAGGAGTGACCCAAAGCTGGGCTCGAGACAGTTCAGTGGTTATGGCACGAACTTAGTGACCTGGGACTTCGTGCGCTCGTTCTCACGTCACGTATAGTTTCTGGTCGTGCTCGTTCAGTTAGTAACACTTCCGGCTCTGGTTTCTTGGTGCCAATAGATTATCATCATCAAAGACGGCAACATCAGTGTTGGCACTGATGCTTCACTGCCGTTAGTGCTGACGCCTCCCTTCTTACACTTTCACGTTTTCCTTCTTTCACCCTCCTCCACCCAAATTCGAATACTTAGTGCCAATACGAGGGAGATTTACTCGGTTTGCCTTTGAGGTTTACAAAGAAACTTGGAAATATCCTTCCTGGCTGAGTTCTAAGTCGGGCAGGGGCTTCATTGATAGGTAGTTCGGTTCAGGTTCCTGTATGGAAGGGTGAAAAGTGTGGTCATGTTTAGGATTTGTCATAAACCACTTGAATTCATGATAATTAGTTATACTCGCTCGTTAATGAGGTTTGCACGTGGACTAGAGCAGATAATGTGTTGAAAGGTAAGCCTAAAAATGCCTCAACATAGTCAGAGCTGTTTTGGGAACAGACCAGTTTTACCTTTCGCACAATAGTAAAATGCTTCCAAGTGACTGACTGTAGGTTCAGCTCAAATTTTTTGGCTCAGAAATCGCATACCAAAGTGCAATGGTTCGAGCCACTACATCCCCGTAAACCGAGGATATAAAATGAAGGAATGAGAGCTAAGCAATGGTGGGAACAGCCTAATCTCTTTTCGTTCGGCATTGCAGGGACTGAGAGCTACGCAGTGAATACGACACCTTTGATGCAAGACCGTTGATGGCGGCGTGACACATTGATATCTGTCAGAGTCGTTAAGCGTTGGCGTGTTTCGTCTCGCGATCTCCATCCGGAGAGACGGCAGTTGCCAACACAACTAAGGTGACAGGAGAGCTTCTATGATTCGTTACCAGATCGGAAACTAACCAACCTGGGTGGTCTCAATCCAACACAAGACTGAGCGAGGAGAGCTTTAGAAAGCAAACAGCCCTCTGGCATACGAAGTGCACGGTCTAACCAGCCTAATCTACGATCCATCGAGGGAGAGTGAACATTCCGGAGAACCACCTAGCACACTACTGATTTGATATTCCCACCAGACCTGCACAATTCCTAAGAGGCACTTATGGTCGAACACAGAATCTTCGAAAATCTTCCGTCCGCAGCGGTCACGTCATTGATCCATAAAGTAGGACAGATGGGACCGTGACACTGCACACTCTATCTCTGGCTGTCAAGCCGATCACGTCGGCGCCACAAGTGTCGAAAATCAGCAAATGCTGCCCCGGTCCTCCTAATTCTGGAATTGATTTCATCTTTCGCCAGTCCGGTGGAACTTATGCACCTGCCCAGATGAACGAATTTACATATCGCATCAACAGGGTTACCTGAGAGCAAGGTTGGGATCCAATTTCACCCGACCTTGCGGTGAAACTTTACACTTCAAAGACACGAAGCGCATACCGAACTATGCAGTAGAATCACTAAGGTTACTTAAAGTAGTTTGTATTTCTATGAAGGATGGTCCAATGAGAGCAACAACCTCAGTGTACTCAGTGTCCGTCAGCGAACGTCCAGGGAGCATTTCAACCTTCGACGTGTTAGAGGTAGGGAAGAACATTNACATACTGACCACGAATTTAGAGAGAAGAGGGAAAGAGCACACTCTTGCTCGACACAAATGGAGGTGCGAACACAGGAGACAATTGGCAGGAGACACATACGCGTCCATGATTTAATACCCCCGGTGGAAAGGGATTCCTCCCAAACCGTTCTTTAGTAATGAACATGTTCGTGTTCATGGACAGGTTGAAATAAGCCAAAGACGAACGAGCCATAGAGGACGACATAAACTTCAACTCTCAAAAGCATTTGCTGGATTTTCAGATAATCCACAGCTCCACACACAAAAGTCTTGTGATATTGACAGTCGGATCAGCCTACTGTTCTGTCTCAGGGCTCTACCTCAGAACCAGTCCTGTTTATGATCTGCGTTAACTACCTTCCGGATGCGATTTTAAATACATATCCAAGTGGCCTGGAATCGTGGATTTCCAACGCCGGCGCCCTTTAAATGGATCTCCGTACCACAAAGCAGTGGTTACTGGACAGGCACCTCCAAATGAATGAAGAAAAGTGCGTCCGTGTCCTCCGAAGGAGGCTCAGCAAACACCTTTGTTGGGCATGGTGAGAATAGACTGGAAGACATTACGAAGCTGGATACCAAAGAAGATTTAGGTGTCTGGCTCTCTTCAAAAGTGTGCTTCTCACCCCAACACAAAACACCGGCTCAAAAGACACTCGTCGTCCTTCATATGATTCGGCGTAACTTCCTCTGTATTACACGCACGGACTTCCAGTACACTATGGTGGTAACCTCAGATCGCTTTAATACGGCAATCAAGTTGTCTGCTCAGGGAGCACGAAGGACGTGGTCTCCATTAGGCGCATCCAACATGCTACTAGGATGGCTGTCTGCTTCAAATCTGATGGTTGCGAAACGTTCTTCAAGGTGCTTGAATCTCTTTCCCCTAGACTATCGTCGTCTCCCTAGGGATCTGGTACTTACGCAGTGAAGCATCAGTGCCAACATTGATGTTGCTGTCTTTGATGATGATGAAGGACAAGGTTTGGAAGACATGTTTTTCCACCGTCGACCAAAATAACACACGTCGGGGAAATGTTGAGATTTCGAAGATCTGAGTGTGTATCGTTGGTATTTTTTTCTCACTTTGGGTAGTTAGTACGTGGAATAACTTTCCTCCAACGCTGGTCAGGCTGTATCTACGACCAAGCTCAAACCACATTCGGATGCTTTTGGTAAGTTTTCGCGCTAGTAAGCTTATGTCCCATGCCGAGAAATTAAAAAGCAGTGCTAAGCGCTTTCTTTGCTTGTACCTTTCAGATGGACCAAAGCCGCTGAATGACAAGGATAAACCCGACCAGGAAAGTTTGGGCGAAACCTTAATTCTGTGTATAAATCCGTGAACTGGCGCTTACTGCGATGACAGTTCGTGGACGGGAACCCATGATATCCACCAAAGCCAATCGGCTCCGAGAATTAGTTCAACAGGAACATTAGCAGTCTGAAGAAACATAGGCGAAGCTGGGGCGAGATGGCTCAGTGGTTCTAGCGTGAATTTACTGACCGGAAGGTCCGTGGTTTGAACTCGATCCCCACCTCTTGAATTCTCCAGTCTAGGCTTGAGCGACCTGGCATTATCGCGGCCCTCATGCTTCCTTCTGATAGCATGGCAGTTAGGAACCGAAAGGGTGCTACAGCTGAACAATTTATTTCATTTTACATCTGAAGATCAACGAAGCAGTGGCCCAAGGGCTGCAGGTTCAGAGAAAGGTAATTGGCACCAGCGAGCATTCTGTTACCTCAGCTGATGAAGCCCCTTTCTTGTCAAACTTTCAACACCCGGCTCAACCTGCGGAAAACTGATTTTCCCAGCCGGATGACTGATAAAATGTCAAATTATTACTGCAAGAACTCAGTAAATCTGATCATGAACTCTATGCAAACTTGATCCTCCCAAGCTGTCCTATGACCTCAGCAATAATGAGACGGTCAGAACATTGTTGCACGTCGGTGATCAAACATCACCATTCAATCTTACCAGTGCGTCGAGTTGGTTAAGAAAGCCTACGGCGAATTTATCATGTTTAACGATGTAGTCATTTGGACGTGCGAGTGGTTTGAGCTGACCTCAGTAACGGAGAACCAGTTCACGTACCCCGTTTTTCGTATCCGGTCACCAGTCAGTTCGAGATGTAGACGCAGGAACTCAGCCTTGAATAAGATGCTGATACCACGTTACAGGGTCTCACCA